GGTCAATGTGAAGCAGGTAGAATGCTGGTATCAGCCCAATGTGAAGAGAAAAGTGATCCTGAAAAACGTTAGATTCGTTTGTAAAATGCGCCATCTTATTTGATGTGAACAGAAACACCGATCACTTGAGATTCCGCATTGAGCAAGTTCCACTGTTGCCACAGAGGCGTCCCAATAAATTCAAATTTGGCGCCACGCTTGGAGCTCATTTAGTTTGGCTACTCTTCGAAGATATTTACAAAGGATAATACATTTCAAACTTCTCCACTTCCAGAATTCTCTTACAAGCAGCAAAAAATTCATTTTATATGAAGTTCTTTGGAAGGGACCTTCAACTGCTTCGGAAAGAGATCGGTAGATCAGACCACCTCCTCGCCTGCATTGCATATTGTATAAAAATACCAGAATGGAAGTTCTTCATAAGACGTCACGAGATCCCATTGTTTGAGAATTGGGATCCGCGAACACTTTCAGAACAATCCTGTAGAGAAGCTAAATAATACAAAACTTGAGCGCATTGAAAGTTAGTGATACGTGCGCAGGCATTATTATGCAGTATCCGTAACGTGTAAACCAGCGCTTCGAGACTCAGCGAGAAAAGCAACGAGCACAAACACAAAGTGTAAAATTCATGAGGAAGGCGTTTAATTTTGTCCACTCAAAGATAACAACGACAATGTCTTCAATATATAATAATCCTTACGGCAAGTTACTAATCTTTTCACTTATATGTCTTTTCCCAATTTTCTTGTCTGACAAGAACACAGTAAGGCTATGCACAGAACGTCTCTCGTCGTACTTTCTGCAAATGCTCTCCCATCATCTAAGCAATATTTTGCAGCCTCAACATTCACTTTCTAATTATTGATGCACGTATCGCAGTTTGCTCGTTTACAGCTTCAGTGTTGTTCGTGTTTCGACCAATAGTATTCTTGTTAAGGTCTACACGTTGCTTACAAATTCACAATTTGTGATCGCAGAAATGCGACGCCGACATAGAGGTGACTGTGAACTACTGCCACAGAGCACAGCACTGAAATATTAAAGGGCGGTTTCGGGGCTTCTTCCTGCTAAAGGGGCAGAGCGGGAGGAAATGGTGCGGCAGTCCCGTCGGTGGGTAGACTGTTTCCGAGCGAGGCGCTGGCGGGTGAAATGAAGATCCTTTGGCAGAGGACGGCAGAGAAGAGTAGAGCAGAGGAGGGGGAGGGGAAAATCCTGTGCACTGCGCAATCAGAGGCGCCGTTATCTCTGGTTCTTCCCTGCACAGCTGACCCTCCGCGCGTGAAAAAATTTCCACAGAGGGCGAACCGCTCCCCCGTCCATGACGCTCACCCGCTCATCTGGCCCTATGGAGACCAGGGTCTCTGCTACGAAGGCCTCTATTCACCCACGTCTCTTCTCGCCTGGATCTTTGCTCACCGAATTTCAGTTTACCCGGATCGTTACTCCCCAGTATTCTGCTCACGTGGGTCTCCGCTCACCCCAGGTTCCTCGGGTCTCTGCTCCGCACCACCTCGTAGCCACCTTTGTCCTCCCTTCTTGCTCACCTGGCCTTTATCATCCCCGTTTCTTCGTCCGTCAGTCAGTCAGTCTGTCAGCAAGTCTCTCTGTCAATCAGACTGTCAGTAACTCGCTCTGTCAGTCAGTCTATCAGTTTGTATATTCGTGTGATCAAAGCTAGCGAATAAATTGCTGAGGGGATTTTCTTAATGATCCAATATTTATTTCAAAAAATATGTTCTTAGAATCATTGTATTTCATTTTTTGTATGCGAAGTATTTACCTCTTGAGCAGATCTCTCTTATGATACTACTCGAGTTGGGTGAGGAGGAATTGTGTTGGTTCATGGAACTGCGTTTAGCGGAATGATTGAGTGTGGACTCACATTTTAACTGTCGTACGCAGTTCCCAATATCACACAAAAGTTGTTGCCTCTTGCAAAACACGTTAGCTCGTCAGGATATTACTTTTCTGGCGGAATTCCCAACAAACTGCCTTCAAACGGGCCGTTGAAACAGTGCATAAATCATTAATTAGATCGATGGTGAGATAGATACCTTTTTATTATGATAAATAAATATATTGTCTGGTATCAATACTTTTTATTCAGCTTATGATCGCTTCGATCGCACAGCGATCATCCTCAGAGCGTTGCAGCTTCCGGACCGAAAACACAGTTCTGCAGAACAATAAACAAGCGCATGCGCAATGCACGCGCCCTGTCGCGTTTCAGCACTGACGGAAGTTCTTCCTCCCTTCCACCCGAGTCCCTCCTGTTCCCCAACCTTCTGGCTCCCGCTCAACACTGAATGACAACCCGCCTCGCTCGTCTTCGCCCCAGGCACTCGAGTCCTCGCTCACCAGGGTCGCTCGCTCTCTGCCACGTGGATGCTGTGTTTTCGGTGCATGATCCATATAGAGCCGCGTGCGAGGGGTTACGACACTGGATTTCTTAATCACATACGATTATTGAACTTTATAACCCTAGTGGACAGAAAATTTTTAGAATTTATAACACTACGAGTAGAAATCTAGACTATCCATTTTCAAGAAATTGGGTCAAAAAACAACATTGTTTTGTCTTAAATGGTGTTGTAAACAATTCAATAAATCACGTGTAGTAAAATATTATTTATTTAAGCACCCACATAACTGCATCTCTCACAATTGAAGTCGTCTGCAGATAAACACCGACTGTAAGTATTTTTAAATTTTTGATTAGACTATAATTTTGTTGATCTTTCTTTAAATGAGAGCGTATAAACTATTTGTAGAAAACTCTATGTAAAACGTCCGCCTCTGTGGAACAAGTTGTGAAATGCAAATCAAACAAGGAAGAGGAGAAATCGTGGCGCCCATGCGTCCCTTCCATATCGATCACCGCCCTGGCATCACCGCCCTGGCCTCACCGCCCGCCACCCACCACTCGAGCAGCCGGCCCCCGCCTCTCTGCCCACCCTCGCCCCACCCGCTGCCTCAGTCAGCGCCTCGCGTGCTGCCACAGGAGGAACTATCTGGAGGCAGCCGACAGGGATTTTACTTGGGCCTCCGTATTTCTCAAAATTTGATTGTACTTCATCTGAGCTACATCTCTTCATCTGTATTTTCTATTCAATTCCATTTCTTGAATATTTTCTTCTTCCTAATAATAGTACTTTAGGTGGTTGGGGATGCATGCAGCTGATACCCTCGTGACGTACAGACTCGTATACCCGCAACCAATCCACTGTCATGATGGAATGAACAACTCGGCGAGTTTCCTTCATAGACAATTCCTGTTGTAGCACTGTCATTGGGTCTATCAATATTGTAATGATATCCCACCTCGTAAAAATCAGTTATAACGTTAACCTGACTCAAAAATTGTGTGAGTAATATCTCTAATCTATTAATGTTCCGGATTTTCTCTTTTTCTTTTTATCTCTCTACTGGTAATTGGTAATTATTAATTGGTTATTGTTAAGCTATTGGTGATTCTTCTTGTTACGTAATCGTCTCCATTTCGTTTGACATAATCGAAATTTAGTAATTAAGAAAACAGGAGTGTAGTTGCACGAGTGGTGTGCTCAAGAAAACGAGCGATGATGGGACGGATAGGATGATAGGACTTACCGCGAGGGCAAACGTTCAATAATCATTCGTTTCCGGGTAAGAATAATTTCAATTTTGAGAGATTAAAACCCATCTTTACCAACCGAGACATACATTTGATAATGTCGTGTAGCTTCTGAATAATACTTTCTTTAGTGGGCCTTGCTTTGTGTTATGATCACCTTAGTGCCTTACAGGATAAAGATTTGGCTGGAAAAAATTTGGACATACACCGAATGAAAAAAATAAACTTGTATTCAGTTTTCCTCTTACTTCTTAGAACAGATAAACGCAACTGACGTTTAGATTTTTCATTTATAATACGCTAAAATCAAATAGTTACCATGTAAATGTTATTTGTTAAATGTTTTACGTTAAAACATTTAATTTATTCACGCGAAATATTTTGTTGTTCCATGACTCAGCTAGTGCTAAACCTATGTTCACTTCACCAATTATGTTTTATTCATTCAATATTCATATGTTGTTGATGAAGGTGTGAAGAAGTTTCTGTTTTGTAGCCTGCTGGAAATACCTTGGCCATGTCTGTTGTATAGTGAGATACGATTTTTATCATTTTTCTGAATTCTGATTGGTAGTCGTAGAGTATCCTTTCGTAAAATCAAAAACGTCTCTTGAATATTACGCAAACAAGAATTGTATTGTGCGTAATATTGTAGGAAAAACAGTTTCTTCTCGTTCCCGAAATATTATTCAACGTACGGTATGTTCGATAAAAACCATTGAGTTCTGTCGCGTTCAGATTCGCCCAGCTCCTTCTCCGGTGTGCAGATGGCCTTGAGCGGGAGGCGGCCGACCGCGAGCGTCAGCTGTTCAGAAA